CTGCTACTGCTGCTACTACAACTCCTGCTGCTACACCTACTGCTGCTGCTACTACTACTACTGCTACTGCTACTACTCCTGCTACTACTACTCCTCCTACTGCTACTGCTACTGCTACTACTGCTACTACTGCTACTGCTACTCCAGCTACTACTACTGCTACTACTGCTACTACTACTCCTGTTACTACTGCTCCTACTACTACTGCTACTACTACTACAACTACTGCTGCTGTTGCTGCTGCTGCTGCTGCTATTTCTACTACTAATGCTACTGCTGGTGCTACTACTAATACTACTAATACTACTACTACTACTACTGCTGCTACTGCTACTGCCGTGAAACAAGATCGTTGATCTATCGATACGATCACACCAAAAACCACTCGTTGATTCAAGACTATGACTCTAAGTGTTTTGGGATGAGAGAGTGGGCTCTTTTCAAAAAACCTAAGTAAACAATTTTTCCTTCTATTTTGTCTCAAAATTCCGGCCACCCTAAGCAGAGAAAAGTGTGAGATATTTTCTTCTCTTAAAAACTCATAGTTAGGGTTTTCAATAATATCCTTTTATAGGAGGAAATTCAAAAACTCAAACCCTAGATGGGATTTTCGAATTTCCCCTTCTCTCTAGGATCAAAATCCGAAATTCCCATTATGGCTAGGGATTTCTGAATTTTCCTTCTCACTTTTGGAGCAAAATTCGAATTCCCCATATAGCAAGGGATTTCTGAATTTTCCAAATAAAATCAACTTTTCTCTCTCCTTTAGTTGCCAAATAAAATCATGTTTAAATTTTATTTTGAATTTTAAATTAATCACTATTAATTTCAAAATTCAAATTCATTCCTTTTATTTTTCAATTATCAAATAAATGAAAAATAACACAATGAATTTTTAAACATAATTATATAACAAAATATCAGTTTCTATTTTCCCACTTATTAGAGCTAGCCTTGAGACCGAATGGACCCACATGAACAAAGCTATGGAATTACAATACTCGACTAACTTATCCCGATAAATTATCGACATATTTAATTCCGACATCGCA